TCGGACGCAGGTGATAAACACACGTTATTATAGCCTGTTGCAGCCTGGTCAGGCAGGAGTCGACATGTGCGGTTTGCGCGGCATGAGTCTGTACTTCCGCGCGCCACCAAGTCCCCCTATGTTCGACAGCTGTTTTGGGAGCGCAACTCAAATAACGCCTCTCGTGCCTGGATCCAGGCCCCACGTTAAATCCCGCGCAGCTGCTACGCGGCCAGTTCAGGGAGCAAACCCGGAATAGATACGCTCGCGTGCACAGCCGGTAAGTTTGCTCGTAACTCGTCAAATCTATCAATTGTGGACCACTGAAATGCTGCATATTTTATTAATGCGTCCAACTTATTTCGGAAAATGTCCTTTTGGCATGCCAAACACGTTTGTAAACAGTTTTATTAGTTAAGATTTTCGATATTTGGGCGGAAATGTGTGTTACCTTGTATTCCGGCAGTTTCATATATCAATAACTATCGTACAGTTGACCCAATTGGGAAAAAACTCGAAGTGTTTTTCACAATTGGGTCAACTCAAATTAAGCAAATCTGCCAAACCTTTAATAACTATCGTAGACTAAGTCTGCGCGTTCTTCTATGAGAAGAGAGTAGTCCAAACTTGAGAATTTTAGCAAAAGGTACTTTCCACACTAGAAAATGGATTTTTTTACGGTCACGTACAGCAGGTGAAGTAGGGTGTAAAAAAGTGAGTTAGTCGTAGAAAACCAGACGTTTTTATCGATTTTAAACGGTCCATTTTGCAAATGGCCTGGAACGCAGTAGTAGCCTCTACTGACAAACCTTTTATTAAACGTCCCAATATTTTCCTGCGAATACTGTCGTGTTTTACTGCCAATGGACCCTGCACCAAAAGCTATGTTAAATTTGAAGTATCAGTTAAGATATATTTTCCGCTAACGTGTCATTTATAGCCAGAACGAGCAGAAAACTAACAGTTTTTGGAATAGCTTACTAAGTATACGGTCACTCTATTGCGCGTTTACAGTCTTAAAATTGGGGCTGGAAAGAAGTTCTTTCATTTACAGCAGAAAATTTATCGGTTTGCTACAAGGAAGCGACAAAACAAAATTGATCCAATGCCCAATTTTTACCTTGGGCTAATCTTGGGAGAAGGTAAAGTACACCGACATCCGTTGTTGAAATACCTAATTACAGGTTCTTTAGAGACGTCCCTTATTATACAAAGTTTTTTTTATTGATCTAAGTCATATTCACTGCCGACTTTTGTTGTGGAGGTTCACTATTCTCAGTGATGAGCCTTCATTTTTGGATGAGCCTACAGATATGACCCAAACGGCTATCTGCATCAGAAAGAATGTTCATTGAATGTTTGTAAGAAATATATTATCTTGAAGTTTTTGATAAACACTCAGGGCATCTAGATTTATGACAAATCAATTGAAAACATTGAAAGTCGTGAACTTTGTGTCATTATTTGAGGGATGATCTGGAACTCGTCGTAATCCAACACCGGAAGTACCTATAAAGAAATTAGACCGGAAGAAGTTTCTCCTAATATAAACAAATGGTTCATTCACGATTGCACCTGACAATATTGCTCAAATTTATTATTCGCTTACCCATCTTTTAAACTATGCATTATGAACATCTTCATTGTTTAAGTGCAGTGATGATATCAATGTGACCATTCAAGAGGTCAAGTTAGGCGAACCAACGTTTTTGATTAACGCAAATCGGATGAGTACAATAATATAAAGGAGGGTAGAGTTCACAAAAGCTTAAGTAAACAATCAGTAATAACTAGCGAAAGAGGTGTTAAGGGATCAGATGGTCAAATTCTAATCATAATTTGAGACCGGGGGAAAGGGGCCTCGACAATTAGTTCATGTCAGGAGACAGGAACGACGGGGCGAGATTAACTAATTGTTGGAACGCCCTTTCCCCACTCCGCCCAAGCTGGTCCCAAATTATTACTAGAATCTGACCTTTTATCCCTTAACACCCATCCCCTAGTTATTACTGATTGGTTGCTTAAGCTTTTGTTAACTCTACCCTCTATTATATAATTGTACTAACCTGATGGTAAATAACTGAAAACGTTCGTTTGCCTAACTTGACTTCTTGAAAATCTTTATTCCCATGCAGGTGAAATCAAGTGAAAAACTATTTGCCTTATTCAAACGCATCTCAAACAATGTAGAAATGAAACAAAAAGCAGTAAAGTCTCAAGAAACTGTGTTAGAATATATACCTGGCCATCCTATATACTAAAGTAATTATACTCTCACTGATATATTGACCCGTTTTTTGCATGGACAGGATTTCTGGGCATTTGAAACTCAGGGTTACTTATTTACAGCGATTTTTTAATTTTTCGTAGTTTTTAAACTTTTGTTAAAATTGATATTTCAAAACAACGCAAAATTACTTTTAACATTTCATTTTTGTCTTCAATCCGCTTAAAACTGCTCATTATTAATGCAAGGTTTTGATCGAGTCATTTGTGCCGGTTTGCGACTAACGAGCAAGGTTTGTAAAATTCGACACATTTCATGAGACAACAAGCTCCCTGTATATGTATCAATTGAAAGCCAGGCAAGTCAAGAACATATCAAACGAAGTAAAATACGTCTTTTGGAAAAAAGTTGACATATTTATTGGGTAGATTTTCGACACTGGTTCCGTAGCTCATCACCAGACTTCGGTAGATATGTACACGTACTACATGTGTACGGATGCCACACTCGTAAAAACTAACAGAACCGAGACTGCGTCTGACTAACTCCTACAGCCCAAACTTTACATTAGTCACATTCCTCTACAGAAGAGAGTAAGTTGCAATGTGAAAATGAGGGGCAAAAACTGAACCAGAATCACGGCCATTAAATAGTCCTGATCAACCACTGGAAGACATTTATCATAAAAATTCTTCGAATTTTCACTACCCGTTTTACACCGTTGAATCATTCAAAATCGTAAGGAAGATAGGATACTAAAAAGCACTGTAAATACGTTGAACTGATGACGGCTAAAAAGCCAGAAATGGCCATTCCAGTATTCCTTTTCCGTAATGCCATTCTGCCTAAACTACTAGCCACTGAGCGGTTGCTAGCGGGGCTAGAGAGTGAGCTCAAGTTAGATCGGAAGAATTGAGTCCCGTAACCGATCGGCTGTATTCTTATTTGTGAGGATTGACGTTTGATCTTATTCCTCTTCGAAAATTGCTTCTACTCTTGGCAACACTTCCAGGTCATGCAGTGTCAATACAAAGTTCAAAGACCCAAGACTAATTGTTTTAGAATATATATTGAAATCGTAAGGCATTGTGCAAAGAGCTTATAAGAGA